TTTGTGATGCGCTGCGCGGTATGAACCCGGCCAAGTCGCCCGGGCCCGATGGGTGGTCTGCTGGCTTCTTTCAAGTCGCGCCGCAGATCTTCTCGGAGATTCTGCTGCTGGTCTTCAACTACCAGCTCGAGCACCATGGTCGGCTGCTGCCCATGCAGCGCCGCAGCGCCGTCGCGCTAATCTTCAAGACGGGCGACCGCGCCGACCCAGGCAACTACCGCCCGATTGCGCTCATGGCCGTCGAGGTCAAGGTGCTCTCGCGTGCTCTGGCGTACCGCCTCGCCCGCTATGCGCCGCATCTGGTGCACCCGACGCAGGCTGGGTTTATTCCGGGCCGGCGCCTTCACGACCACGTCGTCCTCGTGCAAGCGCTGCAGCAGTACTGCTCCTTGGAGGGGCATGACCACTACGCGACTTTTCTGGACTTCTCCAAGGCGTACGACATGGTTGACCAAGGCTTTCTCTTCGACGTCCTCGGCGAGATGAACGTCGGGCCGGGCTTTCTTGGCTGGGTGCGCTTCCTGTACGCCTCGCCCGTGGTCCAGCTCATCTTCAACGGTACGCTTGGGCCCCAGATCAAGCCGACGCGCGGCGTCAAGCAGGGCTGCCCATTGTCGTGCCTCCTCTTTGTGCTGTACCTGGAGCCCCTCGGTGAAATGCTGCGCGCGCAGCCGCTTCTCGGTATGCCGCTGCCTGATGGCAGCACGATTACGAGCATCTTCTTCGCCGACGACTCGACGCTGCTGTCACTCGACCTTGCGACGGCCGCGGCGCAGCTCGAGATCGTCGACGCGTTCTGCGCCGTCTCGGGTGCCCGCCTCAACCTCGCCAAGTGCAAGACGCTGGTACTCAACGACCGTGCGCAGCCGGCCGCGCTCGAGGGTGCGGGCGTGCTCAACATTCTGCTTCCGGGTCAGTCCGTCAAGTACCTGGGGCTCGAGTTTGGCCACGGCCTTCCCGAGAACTTCCAGGTGAATCGCCTCAACGAGCGCTTCCTGGCGGCGTTCCAGCGCTGGAGCTGCCGGGCACGGACGCTCCAAGGGCGACGCCTGCTCGTCAACACGGTATTGCTGTCGCAGCTGTGGCATATCACGGCGGTCACAGCGGTCCCGGATGCCATGGTCGCCACGTGGCAGTCCATGGTCACCAAGTTCATCCTCTGTCGCAAGACGGCGACCAGCGACGGCTACAACCCGCACATTGCACGACGCTGGCACCACGACAAGCGCCTCGGGCTCAGCGTGCCGCTCATCGCGTCGCAGCTCAGCGCCCAGCGCCTTCGCCGCCTCCAAATGCTCATGCGTGACGCGACGACCGAGCCGCAGCTGTGGCAGACGCTCGTGCTTCGTCAGTATGCGCTCACGATGGGTCAACTGTACCGGGCGTCGCACCCGTGGGACTTTTTGTTTACAAGCCTAACAAGCTGACGTTCTGGCTCAACCTCCCGCACCTGCACTCGCTCTGGGAAGACGTCTGGCTCACGTGGTCCTCGACACCGATGTCCAAGCGCCTCGAGATCCCGCCCAACTACGCTACCACGATGCAGATGCCTGTCTGGCTCACGGAGTACGAGCCCCTGCGGTCCAACGCGGTGACGACCATGCAGATTGGCCACGGCAGTGCCGAACGCGAGTGGTGCCTCGGCGCTGCCGAGCAGGGTCACTGTAGCATTTCCGCCATGCTCCTCGCCGACGGCTCGTGGCCGGCCTCCCGGGAGGTCTTTGTCCACACGCTGTCGCATGCCAACGCTGGTGTCCAAGTGCGGCTCGGGCGTCACGGCCACATCGAGGTCGCAATCTGCCGCCACATCGGCGCCATGTACTGCCACCTCTCCCGTGTGTACTGGCAGATTCAAGACGCGTTCGCCGACGCCTCGGACGCCGACCGTCAAGAGCCGGCGGTGACGCAGCCCTTTGTCGGTCTGGTCAAGGATCAGATCCAGCCGTTTGAAGCCTGGCCTCGTGGCAAGATTGCTCAAATGGTGGCTCCGGACCCCATCGACGACGTCTCTACCCACCCGATGGCAAGTGCTGCGCGCACGACGCCGTCGGCGCTGAGCAGCTACCTCCGGCGCGTTCGTCGAACCTGCGGGCTCGCGCCGCCCGTCCAGAGTGACGTGTGGCTGCGCCTTCTGTTCAACATGCTACCCGTCAACTCGCGCTTCGTCTACCTCCAGCGCCAGCGCCCGGACGCCATTTGCTGCGCGTACGGCTGCGGTGCCGTCGAATCGCAACAACACGCGTTCTACGACTGCGAGGTCGTCCACCAAGTGTGGGCGTTCCACGCCGGTGCCTGGCGGCGCTTCGGCGTGACGTTCTCGTGGAACACGCTTTCGGACATTGATGCCTTCTCGGTCAACGGCCGTGGCGCCCCGCACAAGGAGGCGCTGCGCGTGCTCTGGTCGCTCCTCACGGCGTCACTGCTCCACCTCATCTGGAAACAGCACAATGGTGTGCAGTACGAACACAAGCGCGCGATTCCGGCCGCCGCGTGGCACGACCTGTCGTTTGTCGGGTGGATGGCTTCCGTGCGCCACTGGCTGCGCCTTCAAGATGCCGACTGCCCGAAGCGCGCCGCCGTCCTGGACGTCGTGCGCATGCTCCACGGCCAGCCTGCGTACCAGCCTCTTGTCGCCAAGTACCCGCTCCTTCTTCGCCTCGGCCCGTCGCTGCGCCCGGCCTAGTCCCGTGCTGCAGCGTGCGCTCCTCCACTTTTGCGCCAACTATTTATGCACCCGTCGGCACCCCGCGTCCCGTTGGCCGCGCTCCCGACCCCGTGCCCTATTTATCCCTATCTATCACTGAACCTCAACAAGATCGCACGGAAGCTTCCGCTTTCTGGCATAGGAACAGGGTGAGTCTGCTTGCAGGAGATAGATACCCAGTAAAGTCCTTCAATCCAATTGACAATTGACAATAGGCCACAAGGACATATGTTATCTACCTGCACATTTCAGCCAAAAGGTGAATACATGCATAAATGGATGATGAGTCACAGAGACTTACATGTATAAAATTTCACAGTCGACCGAGCTTTCGAGATAGTTGCTTATCTCTCTATTGGGTGCGTGACGAGACACGCAATATGTAGCAAGACCTCATTGCCGAGCACGGTCTGCACGTTGAGGCCACCAAGACGCATCTTTACGCGCTCCAGCTCTGGCTTGCCGCGGCCAAGCGCGAGCACGCGTGGTCGAGAGCGGGCGCAGAGAAGGTTGACGCTGCCCAACGCGCATATGACGAGGCGCTCGACGAGCAGACGCAATACCAGATGGCCCAACAGTTTGACTTCCACGCAAATGTCAACGAGAGTGGCTCGTCCCACTTCTTTCAGCGCCCGCAGAGTGCGAAAGGCGTCATCAACTCGGTCTTGGTCAACGGTGTCGCTGTGACGGACGACGCTACTATCCGCTCGCAGTTTACGGCCCATCGGTGCTCCATCATGACGACGCCGCGCGACGGCCACCTATGAACCGCGAGTGCCGGCGCGCGGTCCTCCGTCACCTCCAGAAGCGCCTATCTGCCGACGACCGCTACGCGCTTGACCGATTGTTGACCGCCGGCGAGCTGTGTGATGCGCTGCGCGGCATGCACCCGGCCAAGTCGCCTGGGCCCGAGGGTGGTCCGCTGACTTCTTTCAAGTCGCGCCGCAGATCTTCTCGGAGGTCCTGTCGACTGTGGACGGTGAAAATCGTGTGGCCGAGGTCCTTCTCTCGTCACTCATTGCTTCAATTCAGGGCATTGCTTCAGCTAAGCGCATGCAAAGATCGCTGCGTTCTCATGCAGCATGCGAATGCTTTTCGCCGAGAACCGATGCCACACTAAGCACAATTATTTGGTGGTACAAGCAATGCCTTGGTACAAGTATCGTTTTGAGCAGCGACGCAACCATCAAGCGCCGGTGCTAGTGCCTTCACGCAAGTGGGCAGTGTACACAGGCGCAAACGATGCCTGTGGAGGTGTCGCGTTAGTATCGGGTCGTGGCTGCTGGCGTCGATGCAGCACTGTTCGCCGTATTGGTGGAAAGGCCACTGCTTTTACGTTGGCACGATACACGCTGTGATTTCGATAGTCGATGCGCCGAGTCGAACGCCGACAGCGACAACCTCGAGCGCGTTGTTTCGAAGTATCCGGACAAAATCCGGACATCAATAGCAAGTGCAATTCCAAAATGGGCGACACGACGGCACTGTGCGCGCACCGCGTAGCGTTCGGAGTGCGCACGTCATCTCGCGGCATCGAGCCTGACGGATACAACATCGAGCACCTGACGCATGACGTTCTGTTGCTTGCACATGGCAGCCAGGCCCGAGACCGCTGCCAGCACGGCACAAGATACGCCCGCCGCGAACCTCTCGCCCAACGTTGCCTCTCATCAGCTCTTTGCACGAGGTACGATCGAGACAGCTCGCTCTTAATGTCCGCGTAGGCTGCTCCGTCTTCATGGTGCCGAGCCTCTTGCCTTTGCTCCGCCACGCTTCTGGCAGCGTTATCCAGCCTCAACGTCGCGACGTCAAAGATTTTCTCGAGCCGATCGCATACAGTACACGCCCAAGCACGAGACGAAAAGACCTGCGCCAGCTCGCGCGTCTGGTTGAAAAGCTCGAAGTCCTCGATACGATCCTGTCCAAGGTCAGTCATTGGCCAAGGCCGATGCTCCTGCCTACTCTCTGGTCGCGAACAGCCTCCCGACCCTCGCCGTGAACTTTCCACAGGCCGCGCCGCTCCTCCAGTAGCTCGACACGCCTGTGCTAGCCACGCCCGCGCTCGGCAGCGCCCAGTGCAGCTCCAGAAGGTGCTAAGGAATTCTAGAGGCGCGGCCGAAAGAAGCCATCGGCGACTTTGGCATGCTCTGCACCATGACCCAAGAGCGCGGAAATGGAGTAACGGGCGACGTGATCGACGAGCTCATGAGCTGCGCTTGCTTTGGCGAGTTCAAGTGCCTCATGCTACAGGGCACCAAACGACGTTTTTCAGAGTACGTTGATGGATGCTTGGTCGTATACCTAGCTGCTCGTTTAGTCCACGGCGATGTCTGGCAAACGATTCGTGTGGAATAGCCGCTCTGGTTTAGCCTAGTCTGAACCGGCCCGAGAGTATCAAGAGTGCTACATTTCAATTGCACCACAAACGAGGCTTAGAGTCGCCCGCTATTCATCTGCTACTCAGCTTTTTGGTCATAGTGCTTGAATTCAATGGATAGTGTATTGTCTATACGTGTTTTTGGGAACGAATATGCTATTGGCGACGATAAGGCTGAATTAAAAGCTCGACACTCACAGACATTTCCAAATATATAACAGTATATCAGGCAGATATATTTTAAATAGTGTGGGAACAACCACTTCTACCACGATCGACGCCGCACAGATGCGTTAACGCGAGGCCGCACCGGTTCCTGTCGTTCTATAGCATTCTTGTATCATGGAGATGAAGGTTTGGACGCCGAACGCAGCGCATGCATGCGAATTCCAACGTTGATTTTTCGAGGCGGTCAAATAAACGCCCAGATGCACAACGTGTTTTCGCGCAGTTCGAAAACTCGACCGACTCCGACGCGGGCAGCCACAGTTGACTATGTATATGGACTGGTCCAGCGACTTGCGTTTGGGATGCGGTAGGCGCTTGGGCTCTCACAGCAAAGTCGAACTGCCGAGCGTCGGTTTTCACGAAATACGACATGTAATTTCGGTTGAAAATGCATCGAAGTCGCGGAAACCGAGGACGCCGTCTCTTTTTGTTCGTCTTAGAGAGCGTGTTGCATGTGGCCGAGAGAGGCAAAGCGCGCGCGATACCGCTGCGTGATGAGGCCTTGTATTCCGTACAGTATTTCAGTATAGCGAAAAAGCACACTATATCAAACTAGTATTTGCCGCTGTCATTTACTCTCGCTACAGAGCTCGCACGGCGACGCCACATAGCATTTTGGACTTCCCTAAGTGTGGTCTAGCACTCTGGCAAGTATGGGCGATTTCATTTTCAAACTTCATTCTGGTTGATCCGCCGCCGCGGTGGGCGTTCCGTCGACTGTGGACGGTTCAACTCGTCCGGCCGAGGTCCTTCTTCCGTCAAAGACCATTGCTTTGACGTTGGATATCTTTGCACTGTGCGTTGTATAGTCGAGACAAACACCGACAGCGACAACCTTGAGCACCTCGAGCCATGCGCTACCCGCGTCCCGCTGAAGCGTATCCGGACATGTTCCGGATACCAAAGCCAAGCGAAAATGATCGACACGGCGACGAGCCACGACAACGTCGCCGCCGGCCCTAGAAGGAGCTGCGCGAGCGCCGCGTCGTGTTCGGAGCGCGCGTGCCGTCTCTTGGCATCGAGCCCGATGCTTCCGACCTCAAGCACTTCACGCACGACGTTCTGATGCTTGCACACGGCAGCCAGCACCGAGACCGCTGGCGGTGCAGCGACAACATTCCGCCCGCCACGACCCTTCCGCCCGCTGCGGATCTTTCGCACAACGTTGCCTCCGATCCGCTCTCTGCTTTAGGTGGCTACAAACGAAGCTCCTGGTACAAGACGCTCGCGTAGTCTGCGTCACCGTCTATGGTCAAACGGCTCTTGGCCAACAGTGTTGGCGCTGCTCGAGGGTCGCGCCGCGTGGCTCGGTATCCCCGACCTCTACGAGCTCTTCTTACCATCTCTCGATTGCATGTTGTGTGAATTATATATCTAGACGTAATACTCCATCCATTTCGTCTAGTAGCCGCACTTTATATACAACATCTGCGTGGACATACCCGGTCGCATTTTCTCGGGTGCACATCGAAACATTGGTAGAGGGCGGCGCTTTGAAGACCACAGAATGCGAGGTCGCGTCGACGAGCGAGGCGTACAGTGGCAGCGAGACGTGATCCAAGATGCACGCCAAACTAAGATCCTAGTCCCATCTTAGAGGCACCACATCATGCATGATGCGGACGCCACTTGTCGACCACATCACGTTTGAAATGGAATCGCCCAAAGTTGGCACAATGATAGAAGTCACTTTGGGTAGTAGAGCAGGCCACGCTACGTCGACGCTGCAGTCGTACAGCACGCGCAATGCTAGACAACATATACAAAGCGCTCTTAAAACGTTAAAAAATGACCGCATTCAGTGCCTGCGACAAGCAAAATTATCGCTCAACCAGTCCATCCCATCACGGAAAGGTCGCGAGTGGGAAAGATCGACTCCATGACAGTTCGCGACTGAGTGTCCTCCTTCAACTCGACGCAGTGATGCGCATCCAGTGTTGCTTTCTCCGCGTCTCCATCACATCATGGTCAAGTTTGTCGTCACCGCGCTCGCGCTCATCGCTAGCACTTTTGCAGCCGCTGCTGCCGTCGACACCCCGGCGATGGACGTCGCCACCACATTGGGCACCGAGACACAGCAGCACCTTCGCGAGGGCGGCCAGAAGGAATGCTTTGGGTCGATCTGCGGTGGTGTTGGCTTTGGTTGGGGTCTTGGTGGCGGCTGCGGTCTCTTTTCGCCGTTCCGTTGCGGCGGCTGGTTCTAGACGCCACATTTTGTGTGAAGCTGCGACGTACGATATACCGATAACCGTCTATCAAATCAATGCTTCTCTTTGATCTACAGCCGTCTATCTCACCGAGGTAGAATTCACGCATTCATGTTGCAATCTCCTCGGACACATCAAGGCCATGCCGTACATTTCAGATATACTCAGCGGCTGTGTCATGGCCATTGAGCGCAGCGAGCTTGTCTCCTTTGGAGTCCGGACGCGGCAACCTGAGGAGCTGGCTGACCAAGGCCGCGAACTGATAGTTGCGGGTCCGTAAAGAACGCTTTGTGGTGCGTGAAGGGATGCTTGATGGTCATAGAAGTAAGGGGATAAACAAAAGTTATGCATTCGGCAAAAGAGAGCGTCGTTCGGCTACTTCAAGGAGGCTGCGATTGTGTTTTTTGTCGCCTTTTTCTTACAAATGGCATGTGCCATGTAGACGTCCCTCGTGATGCCGCAAATAGTACAATTCGGCATAACTTCGGACACCAGTTTCTCGCGCTGTAGACCGCGCACGATGGTCCAACTTGGTACTACGTGCTACAAAAGCTTGCTTTACAACTGTACCAGCTTTGAGCCATTTTGATTTTTGACTGAGTTTGGCCATCCGAGACGGCCAATTCCTCGCAATCAGGAACCTCGACAAGTTGCGTGCTGTTAGCCACATTATCCGGATATCTGGTGTGGGTGCCACGAAAAGACGATGTTGCGGCCGCCGAGCTCTTATCCATAGTGAGTGGCGCGCCTTCTCGAAGCATTTAAAGTATCACCAGGCCGCGCATTAGATACAATTGCGTTTGAAAATGAACTCGCCAAGATTTGGCACATTTGTAGAGGGTGCTTTGGAGACCACAGAATGCGAGGTCGCGTCGACGAGCGAGGCGTACAGCGGTACCGAGACGCGATCCAAGATGCACTCCAAACTAAGATCGTAGTGCCATCTGAGAGGCAC